TCTTATTTATTAAAAAAGAAGAAAAAAAAAAAATTTTAATTAATTAATTAAAAGAATCAAATTTTCAAACAAATAAAGTTTCCTATTTAAAAATAAAAAACTTTGGAAGAAAAAATATTTCTTAAATAGAATAAACTTTTTATTATTTAATAGTTTCCTTTAAAAATATAAAATTTAAAGAGTAGAAAATAAATATCTTTGTTCAAACACTAAATAAATATCAAAAATGATAATTTATATTATTTAGTTTTTTTGAAATATGAATTAATATAAATAACTAAACATTAGGAATCAATTTTAAAAGCAGAAAACTTTAATGATTCTCAGAATGTAAAGCTAAAATGATTTTAATTTACTCTATACTTTACTTGATATTTTTTTTCTTGAAAGAAAATATTATTCAATACCAACTTTTAAAGATAAAATTACAGTTTGATATTAGATAAATATTTGTTTGTATTATTTTTATAATTATCTTCTCACAATTTTTTTGTATCTTTAAAAAATTGTATCATTTAATTTCAAAAAATATTTTAATTTTGTTTTAGTAAGATGCATTAAGTTTGTTTAAACTGACTAAAAACTATTCAGTTTTTTTATATATTAAAAATTTGGTTTCATTTCCTAAATAAATAGTTTTTATTATAAAGATTAATTAATATGTTCTCATAACTTTTATTAATTCAAATATAACTTTAAGATAAATTGATCAATATGAATTTTAATATTTCAATGCAATTGCTTGTGTCTACAATAAGGAAATAATAAAAATAATAGAAAAAAGTTATAGCATCTATTTATTCTAATTTTAAATGTATTCAATTAATTTCATAGTTTAAAAACTAATGTAAAATAAAGTAAACTAAAATATTATGATTTTTCTATATTTCAGAATTACTATTTCGAAATTAGAAATAAAGTGAGTCAAGTGTTACTTATTATTGTAGTTTCTATATTTCTGGATTTTTCTAATTTTATTTCTTGAAATATTTTTGAAAATCTCAAAATTTAACATCTCAATAAAACCTTAAAAATTTAATGAGATGAATAAATTTTTATTTTACAGTATTTTCATTTAAACATATAATAAAATGTTTTTGACTTTGTAAAGTATTTAAATAATTTTATATATTTTTTATGGCTAAGTAGAAGAAAAAATTTAACTTTTATACAAATTAATTAATATGTGTTTATTAAAAATACTAATAATTAAACTCTTTTAATAAATAGTAATCAAATATAATTATTAAAACCTGTCTACAACAAAAATCTTAAAGAACGGACTAAAAGCAAATTTAAACAATGAAATCTGAGAAATTTTGAACTATTAAATTATAATTTATAAATAAAGAACAAAATATCAAACAAAAAATAAAGAAAATGAAAATCACTCAAGTCATCTTGTTAACAGCTATAGTTGCTTTATTGGGAGTACCTATTATTTACTAACTTGCTTAAAATAAAAAAAGTAACTTAAACAGTGCTGACTGCTTAAAATGTGATGAAGCTGATTTTAATGGTGTTTCTTTTCACTATGTTGAAAACTTATGCGATGACTCATACTCCTTCTCAGTCAAAGTATTAAGCTCAGGTGATGTTTATGACTATTAAACTACATGCTTGAAAAATGGAGACAAATTCCCTCTTAACAGCTTTAGTGATTTCTATCTCCTTTAGGAAGATCAATTAAAATGTTGATTTGAAATATTAACAGCTCAATCAATTAATATATAAAATAATTGTTATAATACATAAAATATATATATAATGTATAAAATTATAGATATTTAGAAGTTCACTTATCCACAAGCATATAAACTATTTTTTTTAAATTTACAATATATTTATCTATTTTTTTATGAAATAATATCATCATTTTGTATTTTATAGTAAATTAATTTGCTAAAATAAAAAGAATTATCATTAATTTTATAAATAATTTAATTTAAGTTAATATTTATAAATATTAATATCAAGTAGGACTGAACTGTATTAAATTAAAAGATTTAGAATTTGTTCCATTTTTATTTTGACTATTAAATTAGAATAAAAAATTTGATTCATTATCTAAAATTTATTTGATTGCATCTTCCGAATTCAGTCTGTCTTTAATTTTTAAATCAAATCTCCTGAAAAATTAAAGGAATCATACATTAAGATGAAGAAAATTAATTACTATCTTAGTTAGTTATAAGACTATAAATTAAGAGGAAAATAAGTTATTTAATTTTTATCGAAATTAAATGATTATTTAAATTAATATATACTTAAGCAATTATATTTTTATTGGTTACTTGAAGGTTTATGTTATTAAATCCTTCTAATTTTGTTTTATCAATTCGGAATTAAATTTTTTCTAGAAATGATAAAAGAAAATACAATTGTAGAGAAAATCAAAATAAAAAAATTTATTTTTCTATTTTAATTATGTAAATTTTATAAATTATATTGTTTTTTACTATTCTTACATTAATAAAAACACTATAAACTTTCAATAATTTTAAATATTTCTTATTTATTTGATTAGTTAGTTGTTAAAACAAACTTTATTTTATTTATCATAGTAAAAATCTAAAATAAAATTTTATCATAATTTTAATTAATTATTAAAATTATTTTTAATTTTGTTTTTCAAATGAGTTTTATTTCATAAAAAATAAAGTAAGATTATTATTAAGATAAATTTATTTATTTATTTCAAAACTGTTTACTCTAATTTGCAGGTTAATAACTTAGTAAAAAAAATTGTAAAATTCACATTTTTTATTTAAACTTTTTGATATGAACAAAAATTTAGAAAAACTTATTTAATTTTAAAATTTTAAACATATATATAATACATAAACACATTTATATATTTTACTTACTTACAAAAATAGATTATTTATAAATTATGTAGAGTAACTTTAAATATTATGAATATTTGATTTCGAGTAAATATACTGTATGTAGGTTTTAAAGGTGAGGAAAAGGAAGGAAATTTTAGAAATAATTTTTTTCAATTTAAATATAATATCATCTTAAATATTTTAATTCAAAATTTAATAAAATTATTAGTTTATTTTATAAAAAGCAATTCATCAAGATATTTAACTGATTAAATATTCAAATTTAATCTATATATTAGTAATAGTATAAGAAACAAACTTATATTTTAAGATATTTTATCTCTTAAATAATTAACCTTCAAAATAAATATGGTATTCTATGAAAATTAATTATAATTACACTTTGATCAAGTCAAAATTAAATAGATTTATATTCTTTTGAATAAAACTTTTTTGATTTATTTTCATTAATCTACTGTAATATTTCAATTTCTCAGTCCTTTCAAATTTGAAAGAAAACTGAGATGTTAAAAATAATTAGATATACTAGGGTATACAGATGGGTAGGAGTAGGTTTTAATTAATGAGGAGTTATAGTAGAGTATTTAGTTAGTTAGTTACTTGTTTATATTTGAATAAAAATACTTTGTTGTTTTAATTCAGCTTTGGCTATATAATAATAAATTTTTAAAGGAAAAAAATGTTTTATATATTTTCAATAAAATATTATGATATAAAATACTTGAATTTTTATGAAAAATTTATATTTTACTAATCAAATTATAAGGTTTAGTTTAAAACTAAAAATGATTCATAATAAATCAATGTTCAAAAATGTTTGTTTATCAATAAATTTTTATTTTTAATTTGACCTATGCTAACTAACTAACTGTTCTCTAAAATTTATGAAAATCTTAATTTATTAGACCAAATTTATAAATTTGTTTCTAATATAGAAAAATTCAATAGCTTTTTAAGTTTAATTTACTATGCTAAAAAAAAAATAAACAAATCTTTTTTATCAGTAAAATTCTGGAATTATTTTTAAAAAGATATTACACATAAAAGCCATAAAAATTTAAATTTATGAGTATCTGACAAAAGTCAATCAAAAATCTAAAAATAACAATTATATTTTTAATTCTTTTACTAAAAGGTTCATTATCTTAAATAAATATCAGGTTATTTATTAAAGTAAATAAAAATGGCACAATAGAATAATTTTATTAACAAATACCACAAATATCAAGAAAGTAGAAAGAAATAATTTTCTCAAATATTGAATATTGTTTTATATCTAAAAAATTGGATTTGGATTACAATTTGCAATATTGATATTCCTTCTGTTATTTACTTACTATTTTATTGATTGAGATGATTTCATACTTCAATAATAATTATTTTAAATATTGCAATTTCTTCTTTTAATTTATCAATTTATTTATTGATTCTTATCAACCAATTGTAATTAATAGTTTACTTACAGTACCAGTGCCGCTATTTTTATTTTAAAATAAAAATAATTTTAAATAAGTTAAAAGATGATTCAAAAATTTGAATATACAATTAGCGAAGAAAACAATAGAGGGTTTCTTTTAAAAAAATAAAAAATATTAATAATAAAAGAAGTAACCTTAACGAATTTAGATTACAATAAATTACAGGTAATAAGAATTATTAGAAAAATTGTAAAATTAAAAAACTAAAACAAAGGTTAAATCTAAACTAAAATATGTTTTTAAAGGAAAGGAGGTATTTAACTTCATAGAATTAACTTGAAATACACTTTTCAATGTAAAGTTTGATATAAAATGTTAAAATTTTTATAAAACATTAATATGTTTTAAATTAATTATTACTTTTAGTTAGTTAGTTTCTTTAAAAAACTAAAATTTTTTTCTTTTATTATTTGCGACAAATTTATTTGAATAATATTAATTAATACAAATAATTAATTAAAAACCTCTTTTGAGATCAATGTGATTGCATGTATATAAAAGCAAGGGTTTGAAAGATAATAATTAATAATTAATAAATTAAAATACAGATTTAATTAAAAAAGTATAACAAAAGAAATGAGAACAACTACATTGATAGTATTGACTGCTATTACACTCCTATTGGGAACTGCTGCTATTTACTAAATATCAAAACCCAAGTAAAATTTAAGTTGGACAAAATGCTTAAGATTTGATTAGATACCAAACTCTAAAGGTATAATTCAATTCTATGCTGAGAATATTTGTGACTAACGTTATCAATATTCCCTTTAAATGGTTAGTGATCAAGGTAGAGGATCAGCCTATCAAATTGACGTTCCTTGCTTGAAAAAAGGACAAAAATACCTTCTCAAAGATTATTAATAGTATGATTTGCTTAATGAAAGCGAATATGATTGCTGATATAAAATAAAATAAAATTAAAATTGTTTTATTATATTAAATAATATATTTATAATTTAAATAAAATTATAATCAGAAAATATCTTTTTAAAATTGACTTTATTTAGCAATTTATTTGAATACATTTTTAACTTCAATTATTTTATTGTATGTAATTAATTTTGAGTAAAAGCAATAAATCTAATTTATTTCAAATTTTTTAACTTTTATTTATAATCGATTTTGTAAATTTAAATTTAAAAAAAAGAAAATAAATAAATAAATCCACTTTTGTTTATTTTAAAAAAACAATCTAGCAGTAGAATTATATCGCTTATGAAAGAAGAGAATAACTCCAAAGTATTATCGATTAAATTATGGATTATCAAGTTAAGAATAACATTGTTGATTATCACCCTAATGTCAATAGTATTAGTAGTGAAATTAAAAATATTGTTGACAAAGAAATAAAAGCTTAGGAAAAAAAAAAATAATTATTTTTAAAATCAATTATTATATTTTCAATTTGAATTAAATGAGGTATTCTAATTGTAAATTTTTTTAAATTTTCTAAAATTTAATGCTAGAGCATTTTGTGTTTATAACAAATGTAATAAATATAAATAGTGAATTAATATGATTTTAATAAAATTTTTTTCAATTTATATTTAAAAAATATGCCTTAAATCATTTTTTCAGTATCTAAGTCAAGAAATATTAAAAAAGAAACTAATATATCTGCAATATATAGAATAAATTTAATTAATTAAATTTACAATTTGGTTATTTATTTTTTAAGGATGATTAATTATTGTCATATTTTTTTGTTTGGAATTAAAGTTTCTGGAAGAATTTTAAATATAGCCTTACGTAATAATTTAGCTAATTAATACAATTTATGAGTTTTTAATAATATCAAATCAAAAAGGCTAAAAAATCAATTATTTATTTAATTCTTTCACTAAGAATTGTAATCCTATTTTTTTTTAAAAGCTATTTTTTACGCAAGTTTAAAAAGGATAAAATTGTTTTAAAATCTTAATTTTATAAATTTATAAAACTATATAAATTAATTTAAAACTTGATAGTCTCTAAATTTATTTAGCGTTAACTTAATTTATATGGAAAACAATTTTCTTTTTGATAAATTGAAAATTAAATAATAAACTTCAACAATACCTATCAAATCTGTTAACAGACTTTTCTATATTTTAACAAAATAAATATGTTCATTTTAAAATTAATCTTTAATGAATAAAAGCTTGAGAATTATCTGAGATTTATAAAATAATTCATATTAAGTTTAAAATAGAATTATTTTAATACAAATTGATGTATAATATGCCATAAAATACTGTTAAAAGTTTGTTTAAAAAATATATTAAAAGCTAATAAAGCATATATATATATTCTAATCTAATTATTTTTTACATTAATTCTATAAAATGTAAGGAAATTAATAAGAAATATCAAAGTAAGTTTATATTTAAATCAAATACAATGTTTAACCAAATAATCGTTTTATTGCTGTCTGTAACGTGGTGATTAAATGCTAAAAATATTAGCTATAATTATTATGTTTATGAAATATTTATTTATTGTCTCATAATAAATCTATTTCTAAGTATAAATTTAGGTGAAAAATAAAGAGAAAAATTTATCAATCACCTAGACAGACAGACAGACAGACAGACAGACAGACAGACAGACAGACAGACAGACGAAGCGACTGGATATATTTAAAAGTAGCTTTTTAAAAAATTATTTGATAATAAATAAATAATAAAAATAATACAAATATAAAAAAATAAATTTAGGAAGCAAAATGAGTAAAATAACTTTATTTCTATCTGGATTGGCTATAATTTTGATTGGTACAGCAACTTTATACGCAATTGCTCAACCAAAGCAAAATAACTTAAACTGGGCAAGTTGCTTGAGATATGAATAAAAAACCACTTCTGAAGGAGAAACACTTTTCTATGTTGAGAATATTTGCGATGAGTCATATGGATATATTCTTTCTATGATTAGTGATAACCTTCATGGATAATACTATGAAATTGATGTACCTTGCTTGAAAAAAGGAGAGAAGTATGCTTTGGTTGATTATAAGCAGTAGGATTTTCTTAATGATAACTAATATGGTTGCTGAAATATTAAATAAATATCTCAAAATCAATTATAATATAAATATATGAGTTTTTGTAAACCTACCTATATATAATATATATAAAAATTAGTAATCATATAAAAAAAAAACTTAATTTTTATAATTTTTATTCTTCTAACTTTTTTTACTTACTTCATATTTATTTAGCTTGAAGTAATAAGTATGTATATTTTATTTTTAAACAATCAGTTTAAATATATTTATTTGGATAAAATAGCTTAAATATATTTATTTCTAAGCAATAATTGCATATTTAAAATTAGAGTTTTTATAAAACTTTATGTTTTAAATTAAAGCATTTATTTTTTTAAAAATTAAGCAAGGAAAAGTTAAAAAATAAAACACCTTATTTAATTTATAAAAAAAATAGATTTATACCTAATTAAAAAAAATGTCTTTAATTAATGATAATTCTTACAATTAGATCAATAAAGGTGTATTTAATATATTTGAGAATCCAAAAAATAATTAAATGTATTGGATTTCATAGAATGAAGTATAAATTTCCAGAAATCTTCTTTTTTCATTTATTTTGATTAAATACTATTCATAATAAATAGAAAAAAAATTATTTATGAAAAACAGGTAAATTAATTAAAGTTAAATAGTAAATTTAAGAAGATATATGCTTTTGTTTTTGTTAGGCTTACTGCATATACTTATGTTTTCCAATATTAATTTAATTTACTTAACTAAATATTTATCAAAAAAATATGTTCCTAATAATATGTTTAGTAATTAATTTCTAAATAAATTTTAAGTGCTCTAAAGAAATATTTACGCTTTTATAATTTTAATCGTTTTCATATTTCTTTTACAAGAATTTATCACAAAAAGTTGAAGGAAAAATCATAATTATTTCAAATTATTTCTATAATAATATGCGAAAAACAAAGTATTGACTTCAATTGATTTTAAATAAAAAATCTTAAATAATGAATATTTTAAAAATTTTTGGTCATTAAAATTTTCACATAAGAAGAAGTTAACATTTTTAGAAATTTTTATTTTTGAGCTAAAATCAAAAATTATTGTGATATATCTTATCTCTTTTATAAGCTCTTATTTAAAAAAATATAACTTATAGACTCTCAATATTTATTTTTTATGTAAATATTAAATCATCTTCCACTATTTAGTTAATTTAAAAACCAATAAAGGTATTTTTTTATAATTAATTAAAATCTAAAAATGTATCTTTATTATTCTATTTATATTTTTTATAGACATAAATAATACAATATAAGTCAGCCAATAAGTTTTTGGATATTTCAAACTTTATTTTGAATTAAATTCTTAAAATTTATGATTTATATTAAATAATTTAAATTAATCAATAGCTTAAGGAAAGATTTATTGATTGGTATATCTTATTATGTTTACCAAAAAGTCTTAAGACACTTATTTCATTTCAAAGTTTAATTTAAAGTGTCTGATAATCTATTATAGGTGAATAATTTTGAATAAAGTACAATTTAAGCTTAAATTAAATAAAAAATATATATTTTTTAATAATAAAAATGATTCTTTTAACTGAAAATTTATAAACTAAAAAATCATAAAATAAAATTATATTTTTTAATTTTCTTTTAATGATTGAATTTGATAAAATGTAGTTAAAATTTCTAGAAATATTCGAGAATCAAATAATCTGATAAATTAGAATTCAAATCTATTTTTGAAACGTAGCTAAATTAATTAAAGAGAAAAGATAGATTTAAAAAGAGTAATCTTTTTATATAGTTTATTACATATATTGATAAATAAATAATTAATTCAATAAATTGTAAGCTATTTCAACTAAAGCGATCATATTATTATAATAAAATTTGATCATTTATAATATATTTTATGAACTTTTAAATTTATTTTGCATGCTTCAAACATATTTAAAATTGTGTATAATCATTTTCCCCCCGTATTTTATGATTAATTTTCTCAAATAACTGAAAAATATATGATAATCACTTAAGTGCATTGATTTCAACTCAAATTATCTGATTATTGAATTTAAGAAATATAAGAATTAGTTATTTAATTTAATCTTCTGCAAAATACATATAAAAATTGATATCTTGAAGGAAAATAAATAAATATTTGATAATTAATTAAATAAAAAGAAAAAAAAAAGTAAGATAAAATATGAGAAGCTCCAGCTTAATATTACTTGTTACAATAACTCTTTTACTGGGAACTACTGCTATTTATAAAATAGCTTAATCCTAATAAGGCAACTTGAATGACAAAGAATGCATGAAATTTCATAAGAAACAAACAAAAGTTGAAACTCAATACTATGGTGAAAATACTTGTGATTAACCTCTTAAGTTTTATATTACTGCTTAATATCCTATTATTAAATAAACTGGCTGGTTTACAATAGAAACATCATGCTTGAAGAAAGGAGAACAATATTATTTGCAAGGATTTTTGCCTGAAAAATTAATGAGTGAAGATTATGAGGAGTGTTGATTTTTCAAAAATATTAGATTGAGTTTTAAAATAAATATATTAATTTATAAATTTAAGACATTTAAAAATGTTTAAATTTTTATCATAATATTTTTAATAACTAAGTAGTTAGTTTGTAGCTTTCATTTTTTTAACTTCATTTAAAACCAAGTATAAAAATTTTATTTTATTTAAACAAAAACACAAATCAATATAAATCTTTTAATGTATATTTTTGTTATCTTTGCTCTTTTGGAATGAAATTAATTCTTACTATTAAAATTTTATTGAGAATTTTGTTTGAAAAAATAAAATTTATAAATTTTTTTGGCAAAGTTATTTATTTATTTATTTTTTGGAAAGTTTTAAAAATATGATTTTTATCTATTACGAATGACAAAAAATAAAAACTAAAAAACTTTGATAAAAAAGATTTTTATAAAATTAGTTCATATCTCAACTTAGGAAGAGATTAATCTTATTAATTTATCAAAGAAAATCTAGATCAACATTTTATAAATAAACTGACAAATAATATTTTTTTACCTTTTATTAATTAATTGAATCTTTAAAAATTTTATATTTTGCAAAATTATTTATTTATTAGATAATTTATAAAACAAATAATATTTAAGATAAATATTATGAATGACAAAAAATAAAGATTTAAAAATTTTGATAAAAAAAGGTATTAATATATTTGTTCATATCTTAATTTATAAAGAGACAAATCTAATTGATTTATTAAAAAATCGCTTGGTTAGCATTCTATATGCTGGGACTTATTATTTTTAGCATTATATTAACCTGTTACATCTTTTTAAAAAAATATTTTATTAACAGTTAAAATTATTAATGTGCTAAGTGCTCAAAAATTTCTTTAAATAATTTGGCTATTTTAAGATAATAAAGTTAATTAAAAATTACTTTAAATGCAAAGTAACATAATTTAAATGATGACACTATGATAAACTTTAAGCTAGACTATATGCTTCGTGAAACTCAATATAATTAAATCTAAATAGTTAGTTATTTTAGATAAACTCTAATTAAAGTATGATATATAGATAAATGAGGAAACTTACACAAATGACCCAGTTAACAGCAGAGATACCTTAAATTACAGTTTTTAAGTGGTTAGGATATTTAATTCCTGCCTTTGCAGAGTTGATTGGCTTAAAAACTTTATCATTTAAGATACTTGAAATTTATTTTATGTTATCTTGTTATGGTTTTTTGAGATATTTTGAAAATTGCATGACAATCTTCATCTACTCAAAAGCTTTTACAGTGAGTTATGTTAATTCTTAGAGCTCAGAATCCAATTTTTCTCCTGCAGATAGGTAGTCTTTCACATGTTGGTCAAATTCTGTCATTGTAGGGTAGTGAGATTAGAATTATTACTTTTATGCATGAACTTAAGGCTACACAGAAGGAGCTTAAGTTTATTATATTACGGGTGCTTAAACTTATACTGGTGCTTAGGGTTGCTATTATTATTAAATAACTGGTTCTACTACAGTTGGTTGCTATTATTGAACAGGTTACGGAGGAGGAGGGAGTTGAGTCTAAGCTTACACTTAAGTTTATTGGCTTGTTTCTTTAACCTAAGTTGGTTAGCTTTATGAAGGTTTCTATTAAAGAGGAGTAACTGTGTCTGGATTTTATGATAAATCTACTAATTATCTATCTAATGTAACTCTAATTTCTGCTCTCAAATGGCTAACTAACTCTGAGAAGTCTCCTTCACCCTTACTGTTCCAGATTAAACCATGAGCATAATGTTATTGAACATAATCTAATTAATTTT